TCTAAACTCTATTAAAAAAATTGACATAACCTGTTATTAATGTGATATATGGTTAAAAAGTGATGGTTTTTTTGTCGTGAATTAATGAGCATATTCACTTTTTTTAACGAAAGACCAATTTTGAGCCAAACCTAAAAGCTTTAAGGACTAAATCATAAATTTTTTAATTCAAAGATCAATTCAGAGGTCATATAATAGTTGAAAGCACAAATTAGAGGTTTATCCTTTATAATGTTCATTTCTCTTCCCAAAAAAATGCATCTTTGTAATTATTCTAGGTTTTCTAAATAAGAATTTCCGTCTTTTTGGTTTTCTTTTATTTACTTTAGCATTTAAAACAAAAAGGAACGAAAGGCATTTTATTTGATTCTTTCTCTTCCAGGCTTCTTGATTCACCTCGTTGATTCCAACCCTTCCATATTCAAACCCTTATCTCCAGAACACCCCATCGTAGACTGCACCATCACTAGCCAAGCTACACCATGCCAGCTACACCTCACAACACCTTTCCTCAGTCTCTCTCAAGTTCCCAACTCCTAGTTACTATCCAATACTTCTTATACTTGATTTTTGTTTGATTCATTTTTAAAAATATCTCAAAATTTTTAAAATTTTTATTTCTCATAAAATTTTAAGTTTTAAGTGAAATTTCAAAAATTTTCAGTTTTAAGGTGACGTGAGAAACTAATGCGAAAGATTTGTAAAAGGAAAATCCATATTAAATTAAATTAATGTCATTTTGCACTGAATGAAAAACATTCAAAATCTGTGTTTTGTTTTGCAGGGACTTAATCGTGACATGGATTAAAATGAAGGACGAAAGTGTCAGGAAGATGAAACTTATGAACTAAAGCACAAAAAAAAAACCCTAAACGAAGTCGGTTTGCTGTAGGACGAAAAACAAATATGCTCGCTTGCAGAGGATGGGCGGCAAGAGCAGAGGCCAGAGGGGATTCCTCCCCCTTGCTCCCTCATCAATCACTTCTCCTTTCCATCCCATGTGAGAAAAACTCATCTCCTACTTCCACCGCCCTTTTCCTCCCATCAGATTGCAAGGTTTGGAGACACATCAGCTGTTCATTTCCTCCATCTCACGTGCTTGGATCAACTTGCAGGCTGCAGGGAATCTAGGGGGTGTAGGTAGGCGGCAGATCGAGGGTGAAGAACAGTTGAGATGGAGAGAAGGTAATAGGATGGCTGGGGCTCTGTTCCAACCTCCTCGGATTTTGCCTATAAAAGAAGGTTTGCGGGGAGCAGAAGGGGGCAGCGAAGAGGAGAAGAAGAAGGCAAACGAAGAAAAAAAAGAGAGCGTAAAAAAATGATTCAGTAAGTTTAGAGAGTACTGGAATTTTCGAGTTTGAGGAATCGAAGGCAAAGGGAAGTTGGAATTCGGTTTCGGGATCTGAACGTTATTGCCGACTTTAGGGATTTTTAGCTTCAGTTCATTTTATGTAAATCACATATTGATATTGGATTAGAAATCGAGTTTGTTGTTAAATTTATTGTAATTTTATTTTGAAATTGTGATTGGTGGTTGTTGTTGATTGAGATTTCTTTTTATTTATTTATTTATTTAGAAGCTGAAATTATGAAATTATCATGTAGAAAAGCTCCGTTGAGCTGGGTTTAGGTTAGAATCTGTTTTCTTAATTTTGTTTTTAGAAAATTTCTGAAATTTTTCTTGAATTCATCGCCGGGAACTGCAGAGCTAGTTCGGAACTCGGCGAGAATCCAGTGATTCGGCCGGTTTCTGGAACTTGTCCGGTGCCTACTTTTTCCCCCTTTTTTTTGCCCTTTTTTCTCCTTTTTTTTTGGTGGACTGGGCTCTGTTTTCATTTTTTCCCTTTTCTTTTTGGGTTTTTAGTCTAAAAAAAAAAAAAGAAAAAAGAAGGGGAAAAGATGTGAAATGGGCCAAAACCCTAACCGTTGACCCGACAAAAAAAGGGTTTTTTTTAATTAATTTGTAATAATTAATTAATCATAATTAATTGTTTTAGTTGATTCTAAATTAGCTCTAATCAAGGTTTTAATCAAGTTAATTATGATTTAATTAAGATAGTCAGTTAACTTTAATTAATCTGATTAATTATGCTAACAAAATTAATTTTCGTCAATCACCATTCAATCAATATCAATTTGAATCATTAATTGGTGGGTCAAACTCTACGAAATTAGTTATTTTTATCTCTTTTTGGTGGAATATTTCAGTTTAGTTATTCTATTTTGACTCTAGATCAAACATTTAATCGAGTCTAAAATTTCAAAAAAAAAAAAAATCCTATCAAAATTTCCATTTTCGTATTTAAACCTTGAAATTTTCTAACTCTTTCAGTTTACATTTTAATCTTTGTAAATAAATCCACCATCTTCCACAAAATTTCAATATCATTAATCATTTTTAAATTGAATCAAATAAAGTCTTACAGAAAATAAATTGAGTTATAACTCCAAAATTAAGAGTAATGTAACTGTATTATTTCTAGAAGTTATGGAGTGCATGTATATCCATTACTATGCCTAACTGTACCCTCAGACTCTAACCTCTGCTCAAACCATTTTAAGTAATTTGTTCCAGTTTATAATTTAGACAAGTCTGACATAAAATAAATTAAGTTAAAACTTCAAAATTAAAAGTATGCAACTGTATTTTTCTCAGAAGCTATGAAGTACATGTATACCCATTACTATGCCTAACTATACCCTCAAACTCTATCCTCTGCTCAAACCATTTTCAGTAATTTGTCCCAATTAATAATTTAGACAAGTAATAACTAAAAAAATTTCATAAATTTATGATTAATTTTTCAAAACATTTTTTGTAATCTTAAGTGATCATCAACACCTCCACACCAAACACAGTGGTGGTATTCTCCACTCGAACTGTGATTCCACAAGGCTTACCAATCAGCATATCCTTTGCCTGCACTAAGAGCCGCTTGCCCCAAAGCATCCTCCTCTCCTTTATGGCTGTTGCAGTTCTTTTCTCCAGCCAGTTTCATCCCACCACAAATCTGTGTGGCACCACTCTGTGTTACTAATTCACTGAAGGCCATGAAACCATGCCAACAAACTAACTAGTAAGCCCAATAAATTCCTCCACATTATCTCCATCTCTTGCTGATCAACCCGCATCTACCTCGGTGTTACCTACCACCACTTCAGGTAGAGACTTTTCCATTATCACCAACAACAACCAAATTCCAGCCCTTGTCACCTCTAGCCACGCCACCTTCAAGTTCACTGTTATTGACCTTTCACGACACTCCCAGGCAAAGCTCCAGCCCCAGAATGTCTTCTTATCTCTTTCCTATTATTGGCTGCAGCAATATCTTCTTCTTTTATTCCTGGCATACTTCTTCAGATTTCATCACGCCCCAGATTTGCTTGATCCCATCACGCTCTGGCAATTCTACCACAACCGGTCACTTTCCAGCCTCCCTCTGCTGCTTCGTCGGTATTCAAGAAGCGTTTGCAATTGTTAAAGCCGTTATCTTCAAGTTTTGGCACCGGTAGTCCCTTCTCCGTTCTCTGATCCATGCGCACCAGCGTTCACATTGGTGCTTCTCTTGCTACTTGGTCGGCTCTATAAATTTTGGCTAGTTGTATGCTATTTTTCTACGTAGTGTTGCATAAAGCTATGTTTCAGTTTGTCTTTGAAGCACAGTTGGTGGCAGTATTTATAAAAGAAGGCATCAATGCATCTTTCTTCCCTGGCATTGCCTCTTTTATTCTCACTACTTTGATTGCCTATATATTGTGGCAGATTCTCCAATTCAGCTGGCTCAGAGATATTATTTGTCTTCAAGAATTTTCGAAACCTTGAGTTTAAGGGGAAGTTAAGGAATTAGAGATTCAATCATATCAACGATGAATTAATTAAATTATATATTTGATTATGATATTAATAGTTAGATTGTATTTAGGTATTTTTAATATTATAATTTTTTTATGGAAAATGATATAGAGATAAATTTTTTTATTATTTTTTATATAATTTTTACATATTATTAAATAAACAGATGTATTTAATATCACAAGTTTCAAATAAATAAAAAAAATTAATTATTTAAATAATACGTAAAATTATATAAAAAAATAATACAAAAAATTATCTCTAAATTATTCTGACAGATGGAGTTAGATATTGTCAGGTAAGTGATAAAATTTTACCATATTTGGGTGATTTTTTTCCTTTATTCAAGATGTGTCAAATTGTCTTCATATGTCCCAAGCAATTTATATTTTTATACGCTGGTTGATAAAAATCAGTTAAGAGTAGTCAATTGTTTTTTACCAGTAGGGTACATGAAACATGAGTGCAATTGTGGAGAGCTTACTCACATGCACATCATTGTCTGCATGTTAAGAGTCTGTTTTACTAGTTGAAATATTGTCCAATATCATTTTTGGTAACGAATTCACAGTAGAGACTGCATTTTTTATTTGTGAATGTGGTAAAACTACCCTTCTTAAAACACATATCATACCAAAATACCGTTAGATAGAGACTCCAAATTTCTTAATGAATATTTGCAATGTGATTGACCATGCAAATGTCTCTGGGGCATGTCTTTAGGAATGTACCTCTGCAGGCATGCATGCATAGAGTGCCAGTAGATTCATCAGAACGTGGATCTCATTGGCCCGAGCAATGGCCAAAACGGTTGGAGAAAGCTCCTTAGTGGTTAAATTCTCAGGTTGGTGTTTATGGTAAAGCAGCTCCGGGAGGTTTTGTTGCAGACTACAAGCACTGGAAAGATGTTGTTGCCAAGTCATATTTGAGTGGAGTTGGAATCAACTGGTCTTCCATTAGAAATGTCATGGACATGAGAGCCGTATATGGAGGGTAAACAATTTTTACATTTTTGGTTGAACATTTTTCAAGCCATGATCCAATATGTTAGCAAACTGCAACTAGACATCTTGTCCTCTGCAGTTCTCTTTTCCTCCTTTTTCCTCAAAATATTTTTTTTTTCTAAAACAATTGTCCTTTCTTCTTGGCTGCTTAGTTATAAATATCTTCACTTTTTGAGTTTACTTGGATGAGTTCAACCTCATATACCTTTTCTTATCTGCATAAGGATTTTACATCAATTTTCCTTTAGGTTTGCTGCGGCCTTAAAAGATTTGAAAGTGTGGGTTATGAATGTGGTTCAATAGGCTCTGCTGATACACTTCCAATAATCTATGAACGTGGCTTGTTTGGGATATATCATGACTGATGTGAATCATTCAATACATACCCCAGATCTTACGATCTTCTCCATGCCGACCATCTATTCTCTAGCATCAAAAAGAGGTTTATTTCCCAGCCCTATCACTCTCAACCAGGGTTATCTCAGTAATATAGCTCTGATTTGAGCTCATAATTTCTGGCCACAGGTGCAATTTAGTTACATTATTTGCAGAAGTTGATAGAATTCTAAGGCCAGAGGGAAAGTTGATTGTACGGGACAATGCTGAAACCATAAAGGAGGTGGAGGGAATGGCTAAATCTCTAAGGTGGGAGGTCCGGACAGCTTATTTAGAAGACAATGAAGGATTCATTTACTTTCACAAGACATATTGGCGTCCAAATGCGACTGAAATAATAAAAGCAGCCATTGTTTGAATCAGAATAGCAGTACTAAGAGAAGTTCTAGCTGTACTGGTGACAAAAACTTGATAGGTATTCTTTTATTTCTCAAGCATTAAAATTTTTAGATTAGTTTTAAAGCGTAACATTTTATTGGTTGATTATTATTTGGATCCCCATTACGAAGATTATTATCTTTGTATACTTTGATTGTAAAATCAAATTATCATTATGGAATGAAAATTGAAGGCATTCTTGAAGTTTGGTCCTTCAATGGCAAGTACGAAAAATATCATGCCGAGAAAAATAGTGGGTCATTAACAATTTCACTATTTTTCTCCAAATAGAAAAACTTTCGTCATTCCGTCCATCTGTTTCTCCCGCTCTCTTCATTCAACCACCGTCATCCCAACTCTCTCCTCCGTGATTGATTCTATGATTATAGCTGGAAACCATAGCGCTTTGCATTGTTGCTCTATCCATTTTCAACAGTCTATGACATCAATTTTGGATTACTTTTTGTTCTGTGGACTTTTGGGTTTCTTAATCCATGCTTTACATTGATTTCTTTTTGGGTTTCTTGGACCATGCTTTACGTTCTTTTGATAGTGGAGTGCTAGCTGCGCTCGGCGGACTACTCTTTAATAGTGAATTAACACTAGGGTCTTATGTTGATTGATTGATATACACGGAATGAAATTACTTGCAGACATAACTAAACGTAGCACTTACTGAAATTTTTTCAAAGCATTATAGAAAAATTAGTTTATCCTGAATTAGTATATGTTGAAAAGAAAACTGACCCCACCACACTTTGTGGGATGAGTGTTGTAGGTTTCCACTTATTTTGCCAACTCTTCTTGTTCAAAAATTGCCCGCAAAAAAAATATAAGTTATCCTTGATACGACGTTCTTTCAACTCATACAATAGTTTAACTTTAAGTAACAGAGAAAAAGCCAGGTTTTCTGGTCCAATGGGACAACCTTCCTGTTTTTGTAAGGATCAAGGAATGAAAACCCAAGCTTGCCCTCCTAGCAAAAGCAATGGGAGAAAAAATAAAAATGAGCCTCTAGATTGGACCTTTGATTATGTCTACGGGCTTTCTATGTGTTTGAGGATAATGGGTGCCTCAAAAACACTAGCCTTCTGATATAAATATATGGATATTCCTCTGACACTGTTGGGTTGTTACTATCATCTATTAGGGTAAAATTTTCCTTATGTTGGCAAAGTTGTAGACAAAGGAGTTAAGATGCGTCCTTTGAACTTCTTTTGAAATATTCTTGTGTTTTTAATTACATAGTCGAGTATGCTTGTTTGGTTTGATGATAGCTATCTGGAAATGAATGAAAATAGCTCTCTCCTCATGTTCGCATGATTGGAATTTAAGAAAAATAATGCTAGGGTCTAGGTGGGGGTTTTGGAACCATTAATTGAGGGAGCTTTACAGGTTAATCTAATATTAAGAACACATGATTTATTGGGTTTTATATTGAAAGATATGTATGCATCCATGCATGTGTGTACAATGATTAAGGTTGTAAAATGGGATGAACTTGGCCAGAGTAACTTTTTGGCTAGTTGAATTTGCAGGGTAGTCCCAAGCTGTCTTTGTACTGTGCTAAAATTGAAAGGGAAATTACTGGGTTGTTTACCAATATCATTAAGAATTTGCAAATTGATTCTGTAATTAAACTTCAGTTTGTCTTGAAAACTTTTAAGATACCAAAAGGTACTGACATTTACTAATTCTGTTTCCTTAAACTTTCCCGTAATCTCCCATACAAGATTTTAGTGCAAAACCTGAAATGTGTGTGCTAGCTTCATGTCACTCAGACAATAACATGAAGTATATTAGAAACCTAGCTGGTTGGTCAAGTTATTACCTCTATGTAATATATTGCCTAAGTGAGATTATTAATTATAGCTAAGTTGAACATTGACATTCTGACAACAAAAATTTGTTACCAGACCTGGAAGATTAAGCATACATAAATTATACCCTACTGACAACTGGTCCCACTTCAGAAGTTAAATCCCTTAAATTCCTAAGTTCCACACTCAGTTTAGAATTTTCAAATACTCCATTGTCTGCCATTGTCACACCTTTCCTCAAACAAAACAAGTTGGCAGTCTCCTTAGATTACTCAACATGTCTGCTGCCACTAACGTTCTAAAGCTATCTATGAAAGTTATAGAGATGAGTTCTCCAGGCATTTCCTGACCGTTGGTATTCAACATGTCAGGTTCTTGGAGGAACAAGTGCTTGCTCCTGACTCTTCTTGTTCTCGTTGTTCTCTCAGAAGCATCAAGATTGCCTAACTGGGAACAGATGCTGCCTAAAAAGCTCCCAACTCCTTCCTCTTCCCCTTCTAAAGGCACCAATTCTTTAACAACATCATCTTCAACTGCGGTTAAAACAGATACAAGCCCTCCTTCATCAGATGGAAAGGTCTAGCTGGAATTAAGTATAGGAGCATTTTTTCAACTTGTCTCTAACTATAGTGTATACAAGTCTTGGGGCTGCGCCAATTGGAAGAAGGCACAAAGTTTTGCAAACTAGTCTTCAATGTGATCCAAAATACTTGATCAGTCTGATGTGCTCATGGGTACAGGATTATATGCAATTGTAGAGTTGAGCATATTGATGCTCGGATGCAATCCATTGTAAAGAAGAGTAGCACTTATTTGCTGACAATGATGTATTTGTAGGATTATAAGTCAAGATTTAAGAACTAATCACCTTCTTCTAAATATTGCTCTAGAAGCTTAGCTTGTATTGAGTAATGCAGCTTGCTAAATAACCTACTAGGGTTATTTTCCAAGTAAATTCTTGCAATCAGATACTTCTTGTAATTGTTACTTCCTCAGAATAATTGAATCAAGTCACTGGAGTAGTATTTTTTGACATTTTTTATACCACATTTGCCTTTTACCATAAAAGCATCAATCTATAGTAGATCAATGATGTTATTTATTTTTACATAGCATTCACGGTGATGGAGATCAAAAGAAGATAAGCACAAAGAGCTCACTAGAAGAGGAAAAACAGAGGAGAAATTGAGGGAAAACATAGAAGACATAACCATATGTCTTCATTTGATATCATTTACTGATATATGGAACTTGCTTCTTATATTGTATAAACTTGTGGTTCTGGCCACTATCTACTGAAATAGAAAAAGACAAATTACATTACATGGCTCCAATACAATTAACATAATTAAAATATTAGCAATTAAGGATCTAAGTAAAATTCACTCTTTTATCACACGGTACATACCGAGGACAATATATTGAAAATTAGGAAGAGAATCCTATCTGCAAGATGTGGTCTCTTCCATTCCCCCTTTTTTTTTTTTTTTTTTTTTTTGGATTTTATGAGGCAGTAAAATAGATGGGCATCAACCAGTCACCAAGAAACTTTTGGTTATCTCCCACTGTGAACTGCAAATCCTACTTGATCTGGAAAGGTATTGGAGATGACATTCATGCTACCACTAACATCAAAGTCATGACCAGATTTATCAGATGTTTCACCAAGCGAGTAGTCTACCTCTTTTGCATCCCATGCATCGTTAGCCAATGGATGCTTTGTCATCCTTCTCAGTCCCTCTAATTCCATAGCCACGTCCTTCATTGTAGGCCTTTCCTCCCCTTTTACACTCAAGCATCTCCTTGCCAGGTTAGCTACCTCATTAAGTTGCTCAATGTTTGCTTCATTCACTATACAACCATCAAGAATTTTTCCCAAGCAATTGTCTTTCATTGCAGAAAGAAAATACATGGAAAGATTTCTCTCTTCTTCTGTCCTGTCAAAGGAAAATACCTTTTCTCCAGTCAAAAGCTCAAGAAGGACAACTCCAAAGCTATAAACATCACTTTTGTCTGTTAATTGGCTTGAACGCAAGTATTCAGGGTCCAAGTATCCAATAGTTCCTTGAACAACTGTAGATATTCCAGCTTGGTCTCGTGGAACCAACCTTGAAATACCAAAATCGGATACTTTTGCTGTGTAGCTATCATCTAAGAGTATGTTTGTAGACTTTATATCTCTATGAATGATGGGAGTAGAGGCTGCAGAGTGCAAATATGATAGCACTCCCGCAGTCTCTGTTGCTATCCTTAAGCGGATTTCCCAAGTCAATGATGAAGCCTTACTTTTATTGTGGATGTGATGGTGAAGAGTGCCATTGCTAATGAATTCATAAACTAGCAATGGAACTTCTGTCTCTAAGCAACAACCTAACAGCTTCACCACATTTCTGTGGTTGATTTGTGAAAGAACAACCACTTCATTTATGAATTGCTCATTTTGACTTGGATCAATAACACGGGACTTCTTGATTGCAACAATTCTCCCATCTCTAAGAGTTCCTTTGTACACTGTCCCATAACCTCCTTGACCTATAATTCCGCTATCATCAAAGTTGTTTGTGGCTTTCTCGAGTTCTTCAGCTGTAAAAATTTTAACTGTTTCTGCAGATCCTTCATGGTTGGATAGTTGTTGTTGCAACATCAAACCTCCATTTTGCATGAAGAACTTCTGTTTGAGTTTGATGAGCTTCCATTTATTATATCCCCAGAACAGCCAAGTGCCAACTACTACGAATAACGCAAGGCCTCCAATCCCTTTGTAAGTTAAAGAAATAAGAATGATTACGAGAGTTAACAGAACATGTTTTGACTTAAATGGAAGTTTAAAATTAAAAATAAAAAATAAAAAAAGTATTTGGTAGTTCAGACTACAAAACACTAGCTATTGGATTATGAAAGGCCTTTGATATTAGAGGACGGTCCCTTCATCCAATCCAAACTGTAAAACACTATACTCTTAAAAAATGGTCCTTCTTATAGGAAGTCAAAACTAAAGTGTTTGGTGGACATTCTACTTTTAGTAATTGTTGGTCGAAGTAAAACAGATATTTAGAACAGGTTCAGGAGCTGTTTTGATTACTTAAACAAAAATCAGGATAGAAAATAAAAATCCGAAATTGAAATTAAAAAAACTGCAGAAGTATGTTGGACTTGATTACTTGAAGGTGGAATAAAATATGTGTACTTGCCTACAAGGAGTAGATACAAGTAATGCCGCTGATTTGCAACGCAACCTTGTTCACCATTTAATTCAACATGATGGTGACCTTTGGGGCACGAACATGTATAACTTCCTACTGTATTGGTGCAGATCATACCTCCTTTACAAGGATTGCGATTAGGGGGTGAACACTCATCTATGTCTGCAAAAAGAATGAAAACTATCAGAACAAGAACTATTTTTTTGACTTTCATGAAGCACAGCGTGACTATAAATGGGTTACCTTGGCAACCACTAGGTAGGTATGGATTTCCTTCAAAACCTTTTGAGCACTTGCATCGATATCCATTATCAACAGGAAAGCAAGAGCTATTTCCTTGGCATGCTTTTGCTTTTCCAGTTTTACCACATGTATCCTTGACGTCCCGAATTGACCAATCAAGCACCATAGGGAGTTTACTAACATTTTTCAATTCGCGAAGCAATTTTGGAGAAAAGTCGAACTGACTTTGATCCACGACGAAGCCATAGCTGCAAGGGTTGAATGTCCAAACTTTTTTATGACTTTCGTAGCTCCTCACTGTTATATTGATGTAGCTCATTCCTTTGGCAATGGATATCTGGCAACAGCCAATACCAGAACATGTGTCATTGGTTACATAATTAATGCTGTCACATTTGGTTTTGCAACCTGCAGTGTAGCTTTCATTCCCTTGGACGACACCTGTTACATCTGCCATCGTATCACAGCCAACGGCGACAAACTGATTTTCAGTGTAAGAGATGGTATAAATACTGTTAAACTTCAATTGGAGCTGGGTATAGCTATTGCGACCGCTGACGTTAATTGGATTACCGAACTTATCATAGCAATCGTGGGCTATAAATTTCATTATATGCACCTTCGCTTCAAGAGTTATGTTGATGACATTGATAGTACTATTATATAAAAATGCTAATGGGGGACTAAAAGTGTCATTGCAGCTTATGAGAAAATCTTCATTGTAGTAACATCCTTCTCTTGTACCGAATGGATATGGGATACTTACATTACCACACCTATCTGGACAACCATGTTTTGCAATAGGAGCTGGTTGTGCTACAATTGCTGCTAACGGTGCTGCAATAAGGATGACCAGCCAAAACCTTTCAAGAATTCCCATGGCAAGTACTGCTTCCTTCTTTCTTTAGATTGAAATTGAAATTCAAATTTAAAGATCCTGCGAATGAAAATCTTTATATAGTTGTAGAATTTGGAAGACTAATTAATTGAACGTTAAAGTGAAATTATTGTATCATTATTTTGATAAAGCATAATTCTGCACAACTTATAAAATACAGTGTTGATTACAATTTAAAATCACACAAAAGAATTAGAACATTTCAAAAGTGATGCGATGCAAGCAGACATGTTAAAGTTTAATTAAGGAAAGGATTACTCAATTAACAAAAGGATTACTCAATTTGATGCGACAAATTAGTTGAAGCTACGTTAATAAACAGGTGAAGGGTAAGGGTAGGTGGAAAAGTCTGCAACCGAAGAAAATTTGAAACTGATCAAAACCATAACTAAAGTGTAGGATTCGACTAGATTTCGGATTTTTTTAATTAAAAATTAAACCAAATCAATTTCAAATGACTTAAGTTTGATTGTTAGATTTAAAAACTAAAAATTAACTAAGAGAGTTAGTATAACTAAAAAATTCAACCTAAAAGATTTTTATATAATTTTTTAATGGTTTTTAGATTTTTTAATGTGTTTTTGGTACTTTCCACTAAATTATTTATTTATTAGGGTAATTTTAAGTTTTTTAATAATTAAAATTAATACAATAACTATTCAGAAATTAAAAAAAATAAATTTAATTTTTCAATTAAAATTAGACCCTGTATAAAATAGTTATTCTCAAAAAATTAACCAAAACCAATAAAATTTGTTTATCTTTTAATTTGATTACCTTTTAAAAAAATTAAATAATAAAAAATTTAATTAACTAATAATTTAATTTTAATTGTAACTGAAACTTAACCATACCCATCCTAGTCATGGGCATGTACATTGCAGTGGCCCAGTGGGATATTAATTGAATTCTCACGGGCACCAAAATCCCTCAGATCGAATGTATGAGACGCACCGGCCGTATAATGAAAAGGTGTACCTCTCAGTTTATGAGATGGGTTTAATTCCTTTTTTTTATCTCAAAATTACATTTGTTTAAAAAAATGATTCGAAACAATTAGGAGAGTGTTTAGATTAATTGTTTAAATATAGGTAATACTTAATAATTGATAATTATTATTATTTAAGCAGTGTTTGTTTAAATTTTCTATAAACAGTTAATTTAAAAATAGTTAATAATTATCATTATCTAAAGGATATTTGTTTTAATTTTTTGAATTTGTCTAATGTGTATTGTAAGGGTATATATTAAAAATATATTAAATATATATTTTTGTTATAAATTTATATTAAAAATAAAAATTAACATTTAATTTATCAATTATTGAATTAAATTTACATAACACTAAATTAATATCAATTTTTATATTTTTCTATACATATTTTTAATCAAAAGATACAACAAATACATCTTTATCTTATATCCTAATTAGGGCACATGATAAAAAACTTAATTTTTTTATAAATAACTAATAGTTATTGATTCTAATCAAATAAATTAAATATTTTAAATTGATAATTATTAATTATTAATTATTAATTATTGGCTATCACTTATACTTAAATAGTTAAGTTTATTTAATTAATACCAATAACTAATAACTGTTCATCAAACTCTAAAACAAACAATCCCTAAAACTTCAGAGTGCAACATTACAAGCATGAGGACAGTTTCATTCCGCATGAAAACAATAGAAACCGACAGACATCCAATACAATTAAAATATAATCAATGTTTAGACATACAAAATCAATTCATTGATTGTTTTAACCTAATTATAAATCTTTTATAAAATTAGGGTGTGTTTGAAATTATTATGA